TAGTGTCAATTGACAACAGAAACAATGCTTAACATAATTCTAGGCAAGATTTTCCTTTTTCTCCTTTTCCAAGTTTATTGTTAACATGGTTGGGAACTGCCATTGTCAAGTCAAATAAATATATATACTGTGCTTATGATGTATCAATTAATAGTGCATCACTCTTGGGAAGTCTTAAAATCTAAGTAGTCTGGTTTTTGTGTTATAACCAATATTGCTTCCAGTTGGTTTAATTTTGTAGTGTACTGTTTTCAATCTGTTGATAAAAATCTTCCCTTTTCTCTTTTTGGTCTAACATCGGATTTGTCTCCTGCTTAGGTTGAACAATTGCATAAGATATTTATGTGGATCCCCTTCCGAGGAATATTGGAAGAAATCCAAATTACCAAATGCTACACTCTTTAAACCACAGCAGCCATACAAATGCTGTATAGCAGAAACTTTCAAGGATTTTCCATCTTCTTCTTTACCTCTAATCGAAACTCTTCTTTCAATAGACCCTGAAGAGCGAAGTATTGCCACTGCAGCTCTTAATAGTGAAGTGAGTTGTATTAGCTTATTAATGCATCTCTCAAGCAAATCAATATTTGTGTTGTACCTGTAATCTGCATTCCGGGGCCTTGCATAATGTATATCCTTTGCATTATCCTATATCTACTTTGGAATACTCGATATTCTGTTCTCGCCATTAGCTTGCTGCAATATTGATAAACTAGTTTGTGAAATATTTGGTTTTCTGTTTGCAGTTCTTTACCACTGAACCATATGCTTGTGAACCATCCGGTTTACCAATATATCCTCCCAGTAAAGAAATGGATGTAAAATTGAGAGATGAAGCAAGAAGGTTGGCTGGCTTTCTTTTTTCTCCTTTTGTTTTCTTTTCTAAGTTTGCTACATGCATGTAGCTGATATATATTTTTCCTGTATAGGCAAAGAGTTCTAGCCAGCAAAGCTAATGCAGTTGATGGTGCCAGGAGAATTAAAGTTCGTGAACATGCTAGTCGGGCAATTCCAGCCCCTGAAGCAAATGCAGAGATTCAAACAAACTTAGATGTGAGTGGGAAAAAAACTCTAATCCAACTTCAAACGACCACTGTCTGTTTGATTGCGTTTGTTCTGTTTTGCCCATGGTTTTCTTATGAGCTTCAGTCACTTTTTGTTTGCTGGTTTCCAGAAATGGAGAGTCATCATGACAAAACCAAATGCTAAGAGCAAGAGTGAGAAATTCCCACCTCCCCATCAAGATGGAGCTGTTGGGCACCCTGTAGATGCATCATATAAAGGGCCTATATCTTTTGGTGCCAGTGACACTTCTCTCAGCTCATCAATCTTCAACTTCAAGTCATCAGGATCTGCTAAAAGTTCTGTATCCATTTCCAGAAGAAGGAAAACCAATAATGGCCCCCAGAGGGCTCCATCTCGAAATTTCATCCGTGGTTTCAAACTATCCTCAATAGGCCTATCAATGGATATGCTATTCAGGGGTAAATCTGAGGTATTTCATAGCCAGAAATGTTAGAAGTTCATAAATCCTTTCTATTTGGAGGTGGTGTGATCTGCCAATGCAATTTCAGTGGTAGTTCTTTCGAATATTGACACTATTTTTATGTAAAGCCAATCTTGCTCAAGATTGACATGGTCCCAAGTTTACTTATTCTATCTGGAAGGTAGGGGTGATAATGGTTCAGATCGAATTTGGTTCAGTTTTTTTAGATAATGTATATTATTACGAATTTTTAAAATTCAATCCGAATCTGAATCGATTGTTTTTTTAAATTGATCTGATCTAAATTTAATTTTACTAATTTGGTTTGGTTCATTTATTTTTAAAATTTTTTATTTTTTATATATTATTTTAATAAGATTTTAATTTATTTAAATGAATTTATATATAAAATAATTATTTTTATTTTATAAAAATTTAAAATATATATAATTCGATTCGATTTTTTTTTTTTGTATATTTTGATTTGAAATTCGATTTAAATTTAATATATATATATATATAATATTTGACTTTGATCTGAATTGAAAAAGAAAATAATTAATTCAAATTGAATTAAATATTAAAATTTCAAATCGATTTTTTATTTTTTGATTTTTTTTTGCTCCTATTAAATAGATAGAAATTAATTTATAATCTTTTCATATTAGCCCTACTATGAGTGCCATCATCAGCCAATGCAAATATGGGATCATATGTGAAGTTGTTGAGCTATCTTGGAAATTCTTTCATCCCATGAATTATAAAATTCTTTTTGAAACAATGGATCATGGTCATTTTCATCAATTTATTTTATTAATTTCATAACAAAAAAATTACAAAAAAAACCCATTAAAAATTGTACGTAAATCTATTCATAGATTGGATTGGCTTAAGCTATTAATCTTTGAAAATTTTTGTTCAAAGTCTGATCTAGTTCAAAACATATTAGATTACTATTAAAAATATTTAAGTATTGAAATACTAATTTTTATGTTAATATTTTATATTATTTTAAATCAAATTTAAATAAAAAAATAAAATTTTTATTTATTACATAATGATTCAAACTAATCAAACCAAATCCAAAATTTAAAAAGCATGTTCAAAACTCAATCCTGATTATTTGCACTTCAGTATTTTCTCTTTACACTTTAATTTTTTTTCGATTTTTTGTAAGTAAAATTATTTAATTATTTTTTTTCATAATTTTTCAAAATTTTATAACTTTTAAGAAAAGAATTTTTGTAAAATCATAAATTTTTTCAAAAATAAAATTTTCAAAAATTATAAACTTTTTTAAAAGTTTATTTACGAAAAATTATAAAATTTTGGAAAGTTACGAGAAAGATAAATAATTTTATTAACAAAAAATTTTAAAAATAAAATTAGAGTATGAAAGGAAAAAGTTGGATAGCATTTAGTGTGTTGTATTCATATTTGTTGCCGTGGTCCATCCCTTGACAAAATGAACACAACGACTTTAGAAAGACTTTGGCCGGTCCAATCAACGTTTAAAGAGTCACAAATTTAATGAAAAGCCCTCCTTTTTTGCTACATAAAAATTTTATTTGTACTGATTTCTCCTTCGTTATTGTCCTTTCCGTTCCTTCATTATTAAGACTCCGCCACTCTTCCCTTTTGACGATTCACCCCTTCAAGTAACATTAAAAATTGAGGTAATATTATAAATGATTTTTGAATTATAATAAAATATTTAATTTAATATTTAAAAAATTAATTACATTAAAGATGAATATCAAATTAATTAAAAAATTACATTAAAATTTTTTAAAATTTAAATATTATATTAAATAATTTATTATAATTCAAGACTAATAACTTTAACCTTAAAAAATTTAAATAATTAATTGATCCCTACCGAAAGTAACAGTAATTTGGGACTTTTAAAATTGAATTCGTTAATGGAATAATGAAGCATTTGGCATTTGATATTTACTGAAAAATAATATATTCCATAAAAATCATGTAAAATATAAACTAATAAAGTATACAAGGGGATTTTTTTAAATAAAAAAAATAATTTTTAATTCAATATTTGTTATAACATTTTTGAAATAATAAGGCACATTTTTTTAAACTCAAAATTTTTCTAATTGCAACAATAATACTAAACTAATCTTAAATAACAAATTTATACTTGGCTAATCTTAAATAACAAATTTATACTTGGAACAAAATCAAGAAAACCCATGCAAGATTTCTATAATAAAATCAAATAATTTTATTTTTTTATCTATAAATATTTAATCGATTAATTTAATTAATATAAAATATAATCAAATACTAAAATTTTTTATATTCTTGAAATTTATAAATCAAAAATATTTTTTTACATATTATTAATTATGTGATGGAAGCCAATAAAACCGACATAATTATATGCCATTCAATCAAATAAACCCATTTTTCCATTACCAATTTCATCGAATAATTTTAACTTTCATATATTAAAAAACTCATCAATTTTCCACACTTTGGGAAAGGAGAAGACCAAATCTTTTGGAAAAGGAGAAGACTAAGACTTTTTTTTATTTTTTTGAACAAATCATTCAAAAGACTCCTCTTACCGTACAATTGACTTAGAGTAAAAAACTAAGAGAAAACTTTTTAATTATTTCAACTTTATTTTAATAAGTTGTTATATGTTTATTATATTTGAATAAATTTTTATATTTCCATTTGTATTTATATAAATCTTTATTTTAAATAAAAAATTAACATATATTAAAACTTTATTTTAATAAGTTGTTATATGTTTATTATATTTGAACAAATTTTTATATTTCCATTTGTATTTATATAAATCTTTATTTTAAATAAAAAATTAATATATATTAAAAATTTATTTAAGTATAAATTAAAAATTAAGAGTTTATTTAGATATAAATTAAAGTTTTAATACTTTTTAAATGAAAATTAAATATTAAAAATTTATTTAGATGTAATAAAAAGATAAAAATTTATTTAAACAAAATGATAAAATTTAAGAATTTTTTTATTATTTTAGTCATTAACTTTTTATTGAAATTTTTTATTTATATCATGTAAAATATTAACTATTTATATATATTTATATCATATTTTATATAAAAATTATATATAATAATTTTTATTCACATAAAAATATAAAATATATTTTTGATTTTATTAAATTTATATATAATTTTTATTAAAATTTTAAATTACGTCATTTTTATATTTTTTTCTCATTTGTATCACCGTACGCGCTTTTTTTTTTTTTTTTCTTTTAAAGCTACTGCTTCTTAACTAAGTTTCCCTCCCATATGGGTTTCTTCCCTACGCTATTTAAGTCTTCACTTCATTTTCTTCATTCAAGCTCTCACACTCTCTTAACTTTCATTTTTCTCTGAAAAAAAGTACAGTGTTAGCAATGGCTACGCCTAAAGAACACATCGAGCAGATCAGGAAAACAAAGTTCTCCATAGGAGGAGAACCCAACCCTTTGACTGAGGACCTTCATCAAGCTGTTAGGAACTTGTCTGCTGAGCTTTACACCAAAGACGTCCATTTCCTCATGGAACTCATCCAGGTAATATATCTGTTAAAATTATTTTGGTTTACATTTTCTTTTCTTTACATAAAAGGGTATCTTTAGGCAGCTGAGGAAGTGAAAAAAAACAAGTAAAAGCCTGGGTCGAATCACTTGGGAATTAGGGTTATAATCTTTTTATCTTTGTCGTTCTTTGTGTCACAGAATGCAGAAGACAATGAGTACGTGGAGGGGGTGGATCCATCGCTTGAGTTTGTCATAACCACCCGAGACATCACGGCCACAGGAGCTCCAGCCACATTGCTGATGTTCAATAATGAGAAGGGGTTTTCCTCGAAAAACATAGAGTCGATTTGCAGTGTTGGGCGTTCCACCAAGAAAGGGAACAGGAAACGTGGTTATATTGGGGAGAAAGGTACGTATATTTGCCTTGTCTAACTTTTCACTTATTTGGCTGCATTTGAATGGCTGTTTTATGTATTACATCATTCTTATTCTTAAAGCGGTGATATCCACATTTATTAAATATTGGTTTTATAATTATAGGTATGATAATTTAAAATATAATACGATGACATAATATAAAAATAATATTAATAAAAAATATAAAAATAATATTGCTTAAAATTTTTAAAAAATTATAAATAAGTTTAATAAAATAAAAAAATTATATTTTATATTTTCGTATCGATATAAACTATAACATATAATTTTCATGTAAAATATAATATGAATATAATATTTTACACGACACGATGATACAAATTACTAGATCTAATAATTAGATACAATAAAGAAGTTATCACTATTTTTTTTTTGTTTAAGTACAATTGATCACTTAATTAAATTTATCTCATTTTAAATATATATGCGAAAATGTTATTCTTAGTAATTTTATATTTGAGATTTAAAATCAATTTTCATTTTCAGAAAATATTTTTCATTATGTTGACAAATTTTTTTGTCTAAAAATGCATCCTCCAATATATTAATAAAATTTTCTTGAAAATTATTTTTCTTCTTCAAGATATATATTTTTTAATATTATGATAAAACTTTTATTTTTAGATTTTTTAAAAATTCATAAATCTTTCAATATATTGATAAAATTTTTTATTTAAAATTTATTTTTAAAACCTTCTATATATTGGTAAAGTTTATTTATTTAAAATATCATTTTTTAAAATACAAAACCTTCTAATATACCGATAAAATTTGTTTTTTGAATTTTTATTATACTTCAAAAAGAGAAAGCAAAAGAATCCCAAAGCTTTTATTTCTCGAATCCCAAAGCTTTCATTTCTCTTTCTTCTCTCCTTCCTAATCACTTACCATTCTTTCTTAAAATTATTTTATATTATCATGAGTAAATAGTACAAGTAATCTCTAAATTTTGGTTTAAATTTTATTTTAATTTTTAAATTTTAAAAATCTTTAATTGAGTATTTAATTATTTAAATATATATCAATATAATCATTCTGTATTCTATCTATGAAATTATTTAAATTAACGATAAATATTAATTAATATCTCATGATGATGTTAACAAAAATCTCAAATGATAGATAAGAGATTAAATAAAATTCTTTTAAAGTTTAAGAATCAAAATAAAATTCTCATTTAATTGTAAGTTTTGAATATTTATTTTTTATTTAAAACAAAAATCTATTTAATAAGTTATATTATAAAAAATATAATTTTAAATTATATTTGCATATTTTTGCATTATATTTTTTGTTATAATATAACTTATTAGATAGATTTTTGTTTTAAATAGAAAATAAATATTCAAAACTTAAAATTAAGTTAAAAATTTTTAAATTCTTTTTTTTTAAATTTAATATATTTTAAAAAACAAAAAAATTATGAAAAATATTATTTTACTCATAAATCATAATAAAGCATATTATTTTTATCCAAATAATTTATTTTTAAATATTAAATATCTTTTATTTTTCTTTTTAAAATATTTATAAAATGCATTTTATAAAAAAGAAAATATAAAAATGTTTTAAATTATATTTTTATTTTATATGAATATAAAGTTTTTATATTTCTGAATAGATTAATAAATATATTTTTGAAAATAATATGAAAATTTTACATAATATTTTAAATGATATAAAGTTTTTATTAATTTATTAAATCGATATAAAAATTTTTACTTAAATTTTTAAAATAATATGTAATTTTAAAATATTATTTTGAAAATTTCAACTTAATTTTAATTTTTTAAAAATCTAATTTCTATTAAAAATATTATTTTATTGATAAATAATATTATAATAAAAATTAAAAAATATTTTAAATTATAATATTTTAAAAATATATATTTGAAAAATATAAAAATCAATTTTTTCTTAAATTATTTTTATCTTTTTCTTTATTTATTTTTTATAAAATATATTTGGAAAAGGAAAATAAAAGATATCTAATATTTTTAAATATATATTTTATGAATAGAAAATAATATTTTTATTATAATTTATGAATAAAATAATATTTTTAATAGAAAATAAATTTTTTGTTTTTAAAATGATATTGAAATTTCAACTTATTTTAATTAAAAAACGATTTTATATTAAAAACATATAATTAACAAATTATATTATAATAAAAATATAGAAATATAATTTTAAATTTAATATTTTATAATACATATATATGAAATAAATAGAATTTTGAGATAGTTTTGTCATTAGTACTTAAATTTTGAAAGAATTTTATTTTGGTCCCTAAATTTCGAGAGGATTCTATTTTGATTTTTTATATCACGTAAGATGTTAACTAACGTTATCACGTTATGTCAGTTGACATTTATTATTAATTTAGATGATTTCATAGAAGGAGAGATCACATTAATACATATTTAGACAATTAATGACTCAATTAAAACTTTTTAAAATTTAAGAACTAAAATAAAATTTGACCCAAGGACCACAAATACTATTTACTATATTATTATGAAAAAATTAATATTTATCTCTAAAAATTTAAACTCAAACCTAGTTCTAATAACCTTATCACTACGCTCCATCACCTACCCTTTTCCCAATTTGATTTTCGGTCAGTCAACCTTTTTTTGTATAATTATCTTTCTTTTTTATACCCAAGAAATAAGATAAATAAAATAATCAATAAAAGTAAATATAAAAAAATATAAAATAAAAACAAGATAAATATATATAAATAACATAAATTCAAAAAATAAAAAAATAAAAAAGAAAAAATAAAAATAAAAATTCAAAGTTTATAATTGCGTTCAAAAAGTCTGAATTCAATCGATTTAAATATCGAATTAAGTAAAATATATACAATTAGATTTCATTATAATCTTATGTTAAATTGGGTCTCTTCACTTTGTCAATTGATTTTATATTAAAGCCTAGATTACTTTTATCTGTTTATCTCTTCTAAGTTTGTCACATATTACCGTTAAATATTGGGTTTGACCCCTACATTTGTATCTATAGAACTTACAAGTGTTTGGGGCATTTGTATAACCGGTTGATATTTTAGCCAAAAATTGAGAAATGGAGCAACACATGTCAAAATGTTTCAATGAAATATGAGAGTGGTTTACATGCCACGAAATCTGCTATGAATTTTGTAAGCTAGTCTGTTCAACTTGCTTGATTCTTTGTTTAGGTAAAAAATAATTGATCGTTTTAATATCATAATTGAATATCCGAAAAAAAATCTCTGTATCGACACTGTAGCAACTCAGTCAAATCAAAGTAAATTAAATTATGTGTGAATATCTTGTTATTTAAAGATGTGTTACGTTATCTTTGCAGGAATTGGGTTCAAGAGTGTCTTTCTGATCAGTGCTCAGCCTTACATATTCAGCAATGGCTATCAGATTCGGTTCAATGAAGCGCCTTGTCCCCACTGCAGTCTTGGCTACATTGTTCCTGAGTGGGTTGATGAGAACCCAACCCTTTCTGGTATTAGAAAGGTATATGGATCGAGTTATGCCCTTCCAACCACGACAATCGTCCTGCCCCTGAAGCCTGACAAGGTCAAACCTGTGAAGCAGCAGCTCTCAAGTGTTCATCCTGAAGTTTTGCTATTCCTTTCGAAGATTAAGTGTCTTTCTGTCAGGGAGGACAACGAGGATCCAAGGCTTGATACTATAAGTGCAATAGCTATTACAAGTGAGACGAATTTTGTAACAAGGAAGAACATTGATGCAGAGTCCTATACTCTCTGTCTTTCTGCCGAGGAAAAGGGTGACGAGTTTGGAAGAGAATGCAGCTACTATATGTGGAAGCAAAAGTTTCCAGTTAGGCAGGAAAACAAAGTGGAAAGGAGAATGGACATTGAAGAGTTGGTGATCACGTTGGCTTTTCCAAATGAAGAGCGTCTCCGTCGAGGGACGATCTTACCTGGGGTCTATGCATTTCTTCCAACAGAGATGGTGACCAACTTACCCTTCATAATTCAAGCAGATTTTGTTTTATCATCATCAAGGGAAACAATACTTTTAGACAACAAATGGAACCAAGGGATTCTGGATTGTGTGCCCACTGCTTTTGTAAATGCATTCATCTCATTGGTGAAAATGACAGAAGATGCTCCAGTATCTAGTTTGCCTCGGATGTTCACTTTCTTGCCTGTCAACAATTCCTCGTATCAGAGTTTTGATGCCATTAGGGAATCCATAAGATTAAAACTGGTGGGTGAAGATATTCTTCCAAGTGATGAGTCATGCACGGAGCAGAAGTTTTTTCACAAGCCCCGTGAAGTGGGCAGGATTATGCCTGCTTTCCGGGATATTGTGGAGAAAGCAAGAAAGGAGGGGGTAGGCTTGCACAATCTTTCATCCCGTCGAACATATGTCTTGCATTCTTCTTTTGATGTTGTTAAATATGATTATATTCTGGAATTTTTGGGAGTTAGACCAGTCAACCCTGAATGGTATGCAAAGTGTATCCAGAGTTCTGATCTTGTGTTGGGAGTTTCTGAGGGCATTTATCTTGAGCTTCTTGTCTTCCTTGCTGAGAATTGGCAGAACATGTTCCATGGTACCAACATCATGAACATACCACTTGTCAAATATGTTGATCCTTGCGGAAGTGTGTCTTTGTGCAGTATCGGTGACTCCAGACGTCAAAGTCAGGGGGCAATATGCTGGTCACATAAATTTCGTAGTATCTCATGGTTGATTGATTGGAATAGGGAATTCACGGGTGTTGCCAACCATTTTTTTCTTCCCGAAAGTACACAAAAAGCCATTCGTTCATGCTTTAGCAAAGAAAAAATTTTGGAATGGCTTCGAAACCAGGTGCAGGTTGTTCCTATAAGTGTACAAGAGTATGCAGCAGCTCTTATTAACCATCTTAGTAGCAAGCCGAAGCCTGTTGTAACCTATGCTCACTTCTTATATCATTCATCGTTGATGAACTTTGTAGCAGCAAAGGAAGTTGTTTCTTTGTGTGGCATGATGCCACTTGTAGACAACTATGGTAATGTGATTGCGACCAGAAATAGGGGGATTCTTGTTCCAGCCAATGGAAGCAAATGGGCCAGTTTGATTGGTTCTAATCCACTGAAAGCTGGAGCCTATATTGAGTTAGGAGAAGACTACTTACGTCCTGGAAATTTTGCTGGCCAATTCACTCCTAAAAAGAAACTAATGGAGTTTCTAGGAACACATGCTGCTGCTTTAGATATCCCTTCTCTGCCTCCCCCTAATGCTGCCATTCCTGCTGTCTCTTCGCCACTCACAAAGGAAAACACTTTCTTGCTGTTGGATTGGATTCAGCACATGAAAAACAGAGGAACGCCAATTCCAAAGAAGTTTTTGCGAAGCATAAAATATCGAAACTGGCTGAAAGTTACCATAAATGGCTCCTCTGGCTACAAACCACCATCGCAATCATTTTTTTATTCCGCCTCATGGGGAAATATTTTGCAGAATGAATCTGTGTTTGTTGATATCCCGCTAATTGATCAGAACTTTTATGGAGACAAAATAAGTATGTATAGGGAGGAGCTGAAAACAATTGGAGTGATGTTTGAATATGGAGAAGCATGTGAATTTATTGGGAAGCATCTCATGAGATTGGCATCTTCATCAATGTTAAGTAAAGACCGGATGCTTTCCATTCTTGATCTCATCAGATATCTGAGAACAAAATTGCTCCCTCCTGATGCATTAATCAGCAGTATCAAGGAAGAAGCATGGCTAAAGACATCTCATGATTACAGATCCCCAGAAGGAGCTGTTTTGTTTGACGAGGAATGGAAAATAGCTGAACAAATATGTGATGTCCCCTTCATTGATCAAGCATTTTATGGCGATCAAATCCTTGGCTTCAAAGAAGAACTCCAGTTGCTTGGTGTTATAGTTGGCTTCAGTGGAAGTTATCAGCTTGTTACTGAAAACTTGAAATCATCTTCATGCTTGACCTCTTTGAAAGCTGATGCTTTTCTTTTATTGCTGGAATGTATGCGACATGCAAAATCCTCTAAGAGCCTTGTTACAACCCTTAAAGATGCGAAGTGTTTGAAGACAAACTTTGGTTACAAATCACCGTCAGAATGCTTTCTATTTGATCATGAGTGGGGTTGTCTTTTACAGGTTTTCAGTGGTTTCCCGATAATTGAACAAGCTTACTATGGTTGTAGCTTCTCCTCTTACAAAAATGAGTTGAGGAGTTTAGGTGCTGTGGTGGATTTTGACTCAGCAGTCAAATCTTTTGCTAGCTGTTTAAGGCAACAGGCATTGTCATCTTCTGTTACAAAAGACAATGTTTTGTCATTTCTGTCATGCTATAGACAACTGAAGACAATGTCCCATAAGTTTCCCTCTGACCTCAAGAATTGCATCCGTGAAGAAAAGTGGTTGAGGACTCGGCTTGGTGATTTTAGGTCTCCAAGAGATTGCATCCTCTTTGGTCCGAAGTGGGAATCCATCTCTCAAATTGCTCTCCTTCCTTTTATTGATGATAGTGACAATTGCTATGGAAAGGACATTCACGAGTATAGAGAAGAGTTGAAGAGCACTGGAGTAGTAGTCGAATTTGAAAGTGGTGTGAAGTTTGTGCCTTCTTGTCTCTGTTTTCCTCAACGTACTCATAGTGTAGCTCCCACAAATGCACTTTCATTGCTCGAATGCATGAGAATTTTGTTGGAAGTCAAGGATTACAGCTTCTCAGAGGCATTTCAGAAAGAAGTTTCAAAAAAATGGTTAAAAACCTATGCTGGTTATATGAGTCCAGGTAATAGCTTATTGTTCGATGAGAGTTCAGACTTAAAACTAACAGATGGACCATTCATTGATGAAGGGTTTTATGGTTCTGAGATTAGAATGTACAGAAAAGAGCTCAATTCAATAGGAGTTACCGTTGATGTTAAGAAGGGAAGCACATTGCTAGCCAGCCACCTTGATTTCCATTCTGATTTTGCTACAATCATTCGGATATATAAATTCTTGGAAAAAGCAAAATGGGAGCCTGATAGTGAAGCTACACGGAAAATCTGGATCCCTGATGGAAATGAAAATGGAAGGTGGGTGAAACCTGATGTTTGTGTTCTACATGATAAAGATGGTCTCTGTGGTTTGCGGTTGAATGTTTTGGAGAAATACTATGAGAACGAAACACTGCCGTTTTTCTCTGGCACATTTGGTGTCAAATCAAATCCTTCACTTGATGATTATTGTAAACTTTGGAAGGTCTGGGAAACTTCAGGACACCAATTGTCACATGATGAGTGTTGTGCATTCTGGAGATCTGTTGTGCGGTATAAGAGTTCAAAAACTGAAAGTTTGGTAAAGGTTCCTGTGGATTCAGGTTCGGGTAGGATAATGTTATTTGACAAGCATGATGTGTTTATCGCTGATGACCTTCAACTTAAGGATCTGTTTGTGCAGTCCTCTTCTCGTCCACTATTTGTTTGGTATCCTCAGCCAAGCTTGCCTTCTTTGCCTCGGACTGTGCTGTTTGAATTGTACAGAAAAATTGGGGTTCGCACGATATCTGAGGCTGTACAGAAGAAAGAATTATCCTTAACTAATGGCTTGGAACTTAAGCAGGTCAATCTTAGAGATGTTATGATTGGAAAAGAGCTTGTCCGACTTGTTCTTGGCTTTTTAGCAGGTTCTTCAATGAAAATGGAAGCTGACAAAAGGCATGAAGTTATTCAGTGCCTCCTCAATCTCACTGTCCTTGAGACTTTCGAACCAGTTGCAGTGAGATATACTTTGTTACTATCTTCAGGTGAAACCGAAGAAGTTAGAGCGAGTCAAATGATACGTTGGGACAAAGGGAGCTCAAAGTTTTTCACCCAGAAGATGAACGAGTCTGCCGGGCAAAAGAATCTCCTTGAATATGCTACTGATTTCTCTAACGCAATTGCTGAAGGAGTGCTGTGGGAAAAGGAAGATCAGATTACTTCACTCTCTGAGCTAATCAAGCTGGCCTTTCTTCTAAAATTCAATGGAGAGGCTGTTGGTTTCTTGATGAAATCCAAGAATTTGCAGGTGTTTGTGGAGGACGAGGAATTCCTTTCTGCTGCCTTCCCAAATGAATAAGGGTATGCTACGAACTACTAATGTTTTGTAATTTGCATGTATGCCTTCTTTCTATCGCAACAAAAGTGTGTTTGTTTTTTAAAGCATAGCTTGTGAAACATATGCAGGTGTGTGACTTTAATATTGATGTAACCGTAAGAACTGGTTTGTGATGACTATAGATATCTGTGTACTGGTTGTTAATTATGACATGTTTTTGTTCTGTTTCTGTTTCTATTGGATGTCCTTTTCTTTTATATCAACCTGATCCGGTTGGTTCATTTGTATGCATGATGCGCAACAATGTGACATGGCATATAGCACTTCATATCTGGCAGTACAGGATAAGGAATTTCTTTTATTCTGTTCAATTTTTGTTAATTATTTTCACATAGAATGAATCACATTTGCTACAGATTCATGTTCTGCAATTTTCCTTCAATGCAACAGCTGACGGGACCCGACTTTTATTCTATAATATAATAATTTACTGATCCTCGTCTCTGTATCTGCTTGCTGGGTATAAATTACGTTTGGATCATGAAATCATGTTCATTCTTTTGTCTGACTTTGCACGATGAACATATAAATTGCCATTCTTTCGTGATTTAGGATTTGTTTTTCTACATTTGATGCTTTAGAACAGGTGCATTGTTTAACCCAGGGTCCAGAGCCACCATTCTTTTAAATGCAAATACAGGCTTACTAGTTACATGTTATAAATCAACAACAAAAGGAAAGAACTTATTTTATAAGCTTTATCAGTGTTTCCCCACTTTGACCATAATGGCTATGAATTCTCCATAAAATTTTATACCACTCCATCGGCTTTATTGCCTAGAAATTTCAAAGGCAAAAGAGAATAAGAAAACCTCAATTATTATGTGAGTGTTTCAATTTCATAACAATGTTCTTGGTTTCATCTATGATACCATATGAGCTCCCATACCTTCAAAATATTTTAATTGTAGGGTAGTTAATTTCTAGCTAGCTAGGCTCTCTCCCAAAATATTCAAGCAATTCCCTTTAAGGAGATAAATGTCATCGGACAAATTTTAATTTACAATATTCAAAATTTAATTCAATTAATTTATATAATTATTTTTAAAAGATATTTAATAAATCTAAAATCTAAATTTTAACACTTATAATTTATTTTTCTAACTGTTGATCTCTTTTGTGAAAAAAAAAAAATCTATGAAATTGAGTTTCACTATTTGATGCATACAGTACCTATCTTTGTGAAAGAAAAGAATTAGAGAAATGGTAAAAGAACAAAAGAAAAGAAAAAGAGGTGATGCACTCTCTTCTTGTACATTTAGCATGAATGATCTACCTAGTTGATGATTTTGCATTGATCAGACGGCGCCGGGAAATTTCATGACCACCACAACCACAAGATGGATAATAGCATGCTTTAACGTTCAAGAAGTTCCTTTTACCCCTGGGTATAACCCTCCTAATTTTCATTGCTTTCCTTCCTGATCTGTTCTTTATCTTGGTAACCAATTCCTGAAGGAAGAACAAACCGAGATAATTTCAGATATCAGCTAGCCAGAAAAATTGCCACCTTTTTTTTTTTTTTTTTCTGGAGAATGAATGGGATGCCCATCAACTAGCTATATTTGTTTCGAAACATAAATGTTAAGTCAATTACCTCGTTGGGAATTCGGGATTTGACAATCTCAGCAGCATCAACATCAGTATCACTCAGCGATCCTTTGTTCATGTAATCACCTTTGCCTGCATGCATGCATCCAAACAAACAATTCATTAGTGAAAAGTGAAAATACTCAGCATGATTCACAATTCATTAGTGAAAAGTGAAAATACTCACCATGATCATCATCCTTATTGTGTAGTGAGTCGTTAAGGTAAAGTCTGAAACTTGGTGATCCTGGAGAGGCTAGACGGTGTTCTTCAAATTCCTGCTCATCTTCTGTTTCTTCCATGGCCAGTCTTTCTATGGTTGTGGTCAAAGCCTCTATTACCTTCTCCTTTTCATCACCATTATCATTACCCTTATTATCCTTTTCTTCGGCTATAATAACCTCCTTATCAGAAAAGATCTCCTCGGGCTCGGTTGGCTCTGATGCTACCTTGGCAGACCTTGTGCTATCTTCATCACGCTCCGGAGATGATACAGTACTTTTTCGGTCATTGGTGTGAGGGGATCCACAGTCGTTCTCGTAACCATCCTTGAGGAGCTCGTTTTTGGAAAGAGTAGTCGCTCCTGCCTTGTGTTTCCTAATCTCCTCCAGCTTTCGGCTGAAGTAAGGGGGTATATTAGGCTGCATCTCCCCATTTTCCTGCTCCAGCTTTGACGCTTGACACCCCATTGAAAGATGGAAAACAACAGCCAGACAGAGATGGGAATAGAAAGCCAAACCACAGGCGAGGGAATGAAGGATTCCAAGGACGAATTACTTAAAAGGATTCCAAGGTTTGTTAAGGCAAACAACATGAAATATTGTGCTTTGCATAGGTAATTGACTCTGGTATTACAGTTTTAAAAGAAGACCAATATATACCTTTGATTATTTGTTTCATAGCTCGGCCTTGTCTTCAATCTATTGAAAATTTACTATTTTTATCATGCTGGCTTCGTTATACTGATTATAAGTTGTCGATTTGTTAAGAGTAAACCACCTAAACCCTAAACCACCAAATATAATCTTTTTTAAGTTGTTTTGAGGCATGAAAATCTCATATCAACAGTCCAAATGGCCAAAAAAATTTACAGCAACTCAGGTGAAATGTTAATTTTGTTAGAATTTGAACTAAAATTTTAAATTAACGTATAGAAATTAAATCTTGATTTTGACCATACTATGAAAATTAATCTCGTAATTTGATATTAATTGTATTACATTCACAACTCCAAATCATTAAAATCAAACAAATTTCGAAAATCTTGACAAACATAACACCATTATTAGATTTATGAATGACAATGGAATAGAAAGATTTTATTTTATTTCTTTTATCTTTGAAATATAATTTGACTCTTTAATACATCTAATTAAATTTGGTTTGGACTGATATCTCGTTAATATTTTCAAAAGTGATGCTAAATGCATCTTTTTTTTTCTCTTCATGTTCTATTTTTTTAAAAAATATTTTTGAAAATAAAATTACTTAATTATCTTTCTCACAATTTTCTAAAGTTTTATAATTTTTTAGAAATGAATTTTTGAAAAGTCATATAATTTTTCCAATATAGATTTTTTGACAATTATAAACCTTTACAGAAATTTAACCTTTTAGAAATTTATTTTCGAAAAGATTTATAATCTTCCGAAAATCTATTTCTAAAATGTTATATGATTTTCAAAAAGGTTTATGATTTTTCAAAATTTTATATTCAGAAACTTGTGTGAAAAAAATAATTAAATAATTTCACTCATAAAAAAATTTAAAAAAAATAAATTGAGGTATAATAAAAAAAGGAGTTGCATTTAGCAACACTCTACTTTTAATACTTGAGCACAACTCAAATTTTATTTTAATTTCAGTATAATTTTCAATTGTAATTTATTTAAACATAATAAAACTCAAACACGGGACCAATCTAAAACCTTTAATTCCAAATTTTAAGGTTCAATTTAGGAACAGATGTTTGGGCCAAAAAAGATTTAGCCCATGAAGAAAAATTAATGGGCAAAACTGGTCATGGGCGTACTCCAATCCATCTCATTACAGTAGGTCTCCTGGGCCCATTTGCTTGCATTTTATACGAACGGCTCCTTTAGGGTTTTGGCGAACTTTTGATGCTAAGGTTTTGGGGTTGAAAGAGGGTTTTAGAAAAAAAAAAAAAAAAAACCTAGCTGCCAAAATGGATTCATCTCTCAATTCTGGTGATTTGGATCGATTCCTCAGTGTATGGTCTCTTTCTCTTTTGTTTCATTTGTTAATTGCTGTGATTTCGGTTAACAAACCGTCCAAAGTTAACATCTTTTTACACTGTTGGGATTTTCATTTTGTTGCTTTGTGAAGTTTTAGTATAAAAGAAAATCTGAAAAAATGGTGGTAAGTTAGGCTAATATGGGTTCTTGGCATTCTCTTTAGCTATTGTATTTGACATCTTTTGCCTTTACTTTGAAAGGTGTTGCTAGTAACAAATTCTTTATCAGAAATTAATAGTCTGAAGAGTAGGTCCATTGTATAAAATATTTGGCATTTTGCATCAAAATTTTGTGTATTAAGTATTATTGTCTAGGTGGAAGTATTGGATTCTGGTTTAGTTTTAAACACAGTGACAGATTGTAGATATTTTTTACGAATATCCTAGGCGCACTTTTTAAGGTTAATATGCGATTTTCAATATATTGGAAGAAAATACTACTTAATATGGTAACCGTAAAAAGTGTAAAAATTGTCTTTAGATATTCATTGGAGAAATCCATTTAGTATTTGCTAGTATGTTGTGTGATTGATAAGGTTAACATATTGGGTATGAAGGAGCATTAAAAGGAACCCAGAAAAATGAACAAGAGGATCTTTGCTTATGTCTCAAGGTTGTGAATTGTAATGGATTGATGATTGCTGAAATAGTTTGACAACCTTTGCTTTAGTTATTTTTACTGTAATAGTTGAATATGGCCTTTCCAATGCCTTGTGAAGTTTAGAATCTTGCCTTTTTTGGTTCCTGATTACTTTTGTTGTGGCTATACAGCAAGAAAAGGAAAAAGCTATGGTCAATGAGATGGTGACAAAGCTTACAAGTGTGTGCTGGGACAAGTGTATCACAAGTACTCCTGGAAGCAAATTTAGCTGGAGTGAATCAGCTTGCCTTTCTAATTGTGCTCAGCGTTACTTGGATGTAACCCTTGTCATTATGAAACGCTTTCAGTCCATGCAGTAAACCGGGGGAGACTTTGCCTGCAGTCCTGGTTACTAGTTGTAACCTTTTCTTGCTTCTCAACTGTTAATTGTTTACTGAAAATCTGCTGTATTTTTTTTCACAGAAACATATTTTATTCTGTTAAAATTCCTATACAATGATGGCTTTCATACAGAGTGTTTTACAAATAAATTATCTGAACTTTTATTTGGTCATAAAGTACTGCACTTTAGCATTCAGCTTGTTGTCTTTGGAATTCTTTTAGCTTGCTTAGAAGTTGGAGGCACACAGTTATTAATGGTGACTAACAATCTTGCAAGCATTTTATTGTGCCATTATTTCTAGTTTTACATGCCAGGGTACCTATAACACTAGGGTATATGGAGAAAATTAGTCAATAGTAAGCTCCAATGGCACATTCGGTTGTTTAAAGGAATCCCCATCCTGGCACCACCATTGTGCTTACATGAAAATCCACGAGTAACACCAATTTAAGCACCTTTTTATTGATGCTTTGAAGGGATATCATGAATCACCATCACCATTGTCACTTTCTAACGCGAGCGAAGCATGTTTCTTTGTCAATTGATTGCACCTTTAGTAACGATCATTAATTAAAGCCTCAGTTTGTGCAAGGTACACACTCAGGAATGACTTAAAACCACTAGAAAATCAGACAGCCAGAAGAAAGCAACAAGCCAAGGCTGAATATTGCAAGCTCTAAGGAGAGAAGAAAAATGGGGGAAAAAGGAAAACTCATGGAGAGATTATTCTTTTCTCTTGGGGACGAATAAAACAGCCCCAAAAATTCGTATGAACCAAACCAATGACACTACAACACAGTTTTGCATGTGAAAAATTAACAACCTAAGAGCATTAGTTTCCAATCAACACCAACCCAAATCCACACCGCTTTTTCTCCTCTTCTTTTCATTTTCATCTTCTTCTAGAGACAAAAAAGGAAAAAAAAAAGACTTTTATAATATTTTTCTCCTGTTTAATTTACAGGTCAGAATTTTGTTTCAAATTGTTGATTCTCGTTTGTAGATTCAGCAATGCTCCTACTGTTCATCCTCTTTGATTCTCCAACTTTGGATAAAGGAAGAATCTCAGGTGATATTTCCCATCTTTCACTATTTCTTCCCCAACTAGAACGCCTAGGATGATGCATGACACCACGCCCCTCCGTGTTCTCTGGGGGAAGGATCCTACTTAAATCAGGAGACACGTTGGGCAATCCGCTGTCCTTGTCCATGCTTTCACTGCTGATTTGTCCTTCGTAATCGCCTCTCTCTCCTAAAGCCTCATCCCAAACTGGCTTCCTTCCCATTTCTATGTCACCAATGGCTTTCCCCTTGTTTGGACTGATGAAACCTCCATTCAATGTTCTAGGTGGAATAGCAGGTTCCTTTGGAATCTTCGCCCTGAAACTTGTCTTGGATGGAGGGATGCTGGTGCAGAATATCTCCATGAAGTTCTCAATGACTCCTTTGTTGTATGGATTCTCATTACGATCGTAGCGGTATCTAAAGTTTTCATACGTAGACTGCCAAATGAACAAAAAAAATACTCTGCTGTTATAATTCTAAGAAAATACGAAGCACTTACAAAAAAGATTCAAGCGTAAGCTTATCACTTCAAGTCACATGCCAGGAAGTAATCCCCATCATTTAGCAGAAAAATAACGTATGTCTACGCAGATTCAAAGTGCTAGAATTAGCTATTTCTGTGATTTGAAGGTATAATGGCCCAGAAAAACAAATTACCTGGTTTGTACTGATTAGATACAAATGGAAGACAGTTAGTCCACCAACAAACCAGACTGAAATGAAGGTGTAGATTATTAGCACAATGGAGGCAGGAGTTTTAGTCATTGCTTTCCAGATTGTTGTCTTCTCGCCATCCATGATCCTCCTGATATACACCCAGCAAAATCCATGCACATATAAGCAAAGAAGAGTTGCAAAGAAGACAAACATGAAGAAGAACCTGTAATTCCGCTGCATCAAACCAAGAAGAAAAGGAATTCAGAAACATCATCATCATCGTACATGTCCCATGTGAATGTACCAATGCAAGTAATAGATACATTGAACTATTCTTTAATTGCAAAGAATCTCGAACATGCTGGGAAAAGCCAATAGTAGAGATATAAAAAATGACGGGAAAAGGATGAGCTTTAAACAGATATAAAAAGAAGTAGAGAAATAAACCAAAAAAGGTTTCCTGAAAATATAGCACTGCCATTATCACTAGTTTAGATGAAGAGAGCAGAAAATATCATGTAAAACAATCTGTATTACCAGTCCAATACACTGACCAACCCAAGGGCAGTGATGGTCAAATCTGTCCACGCAATTATTGCATATCGAACAGTGAGAACATCGGGGAGGTCTATACAGCTTACAAGTATCACAGTACTTGATCTTCACACTTATACCATTGATAACAATGTCCTTTCCACGCGGAAAACGTGATGGTGGAGTTTGGCCAGGCAGAACTTCAGCAATTCCTTCATAACCTTCAGGTTCAGGAGGGTGAGAGTTTCGTGGAATTATACCAGGATCTCTTCCTGAGGTTATTAGAAGAAGAATTATATCCTGGGAAAACAAAAGTGCATCCATAACTCATTAGATTTGCAGTGATTTTGGAAGTCTTTAGGCACATCCTTCTTTACAATAATTAATAATACCAATTGTCATAAAAAAGTCTTGAAGATCAAAAAATGATTGAGGAATACAAAAAAAACTACTTATTTATATAATTATTCCACATATAAAATATGAAGAGAATAAAATTGAATCTTGATGTGATAACTAGAGGAAAACACTTCAAATGCATACAATAATCCATAGCAGCTCCAAACGATTCATGATATCTGTCTAATGATGGTAGAACTCGTATTCAAAGGCAAGCCAGCATTGACTTTTAATAATCATTTTTACAGAGTTGGAGCAGATTGTAAAATCACCTTAAATACTACCATTTTCAGAGTTAGATACAGATCATCATCAGTGCCAGAAAGCATGAAACAAGAAAAATAATGGTTTTAGGAAGGAAATGAACTCACACATAAAGTGAGAGCCACAACAACAGCCATTATGGATAGCCCCAAGTGATGAGGAAAGTCATCCATCAACTTTCTTGCCACAAAGACACAGAAGACAGCAACAGGAGCAGCAATTAAGAAGATGGTGAAGAAAAGGGATCTCACATCAGGTCCAAATATAAGCCTTCCCCCCAAAACAAATACCTGCAAAAAAGAAGAAGCCCCCAAAAACATTAGGGAAAAGATTGGCATAACCATAGTTAAAGCAAAGGCGTTACACTTAATTACATTTCAAATTTCCCACAATTATTGTCACAAAAGTAATTTACACTTGTAACTTAAGTGATCTTCCATATGCTTAAAGTTGGTCAGATTGTTCAATAAAAAAAAAGTTGGGTCAAATCTCAATTAATTCACAAAATTCCAGAGTTTCATGTCAGGTATAATCAATTCACCTATTGGAAAGTGTTAATCAACCTTTTGAACTTCCAAGAAAATTGGATCAACATAAAAGCAACAAGAAACTAAAACCAAAACAACCCAATTAGCCAAACACCATTTTTTTGGTAACAAAACTTAAACAAAAAAAAAAAAAACCTTTCTCATCATACAGCAACAAACCCATAAACATGCACCTCGGACTCCATAAAATAAACCCTAAATTTCAGATCTTTGATCAACAAACCAATCAAAAAAAGCTTTTTTGCTTACATTGCTGCCCTCCCAAGCTTTATAAGTTCTAATGAAACCGTCTCCATGGTTAGCTTCACTGGCCAAATCTGGTGGAGGAGGCTGCAAACCATACATCTCTAAAAAATTCAGTCTTTCTTTTTCTGAGAATTGGTTACAGAGAATTGAAGAATAATAGTAATGAAAAATTTTTTCGGCAAAAAGCAGCAAAGAAATTAGAAAAGGCGGCTCTTTTTTTTTATTTGGGTTCTTTGTTTTTTTACTTCATTTTCATATTGATGGCAACAGTTTTCATTGACTTTTCTGCTTGTACTCCTTCCCCCGCTAACTTTAAGCCAATCAGCCACCGCCGTCTAATCGGCTATGGTCCACTGTCGCGCTGGTCAACAGTGGGCTCTAAATATTCATTTTATTTGTATGATCCTTTTCTCTAATTTGTGCTTCGGATCGGTGCCGTATAATCGATTTAATTTGATATAATATTAAATTAATTAGATTAAATTTTATTTTTTAATTTAAATTTAATTAAAATAAAATAAAATTATTTAAATTCATTAGATTAAATTCGTTTAATATATAAAAATAAATTTAATTATTTATACTTGAATTTAAATTCAAATTTAAAATATTTTATTAATTAAAATAATTAAAATATAAAATTTTAATTAAATTTATAAATTATTGAAATCAAATATAAAAATATTTTAACTCAATTAATTTGATAAATTAAATTATTTAAATTCAAACTCAATTTAATAATAATTAAATTAAATTAAAATTTTATTTAAATTAAATTTAAATTATTTATAAATATTAATAAACCATTTACATTCTCAACGTCGCTATAATTAAAAAAAACTCAAGGGCAGATTAAGATTAAGATATATAAAGGTAGATACGCAAAAAACCTGTACATAAGCTCTTGCTCCCGGCAAGGTCAGTAACCCACGAGAGGACTGATTCCAATGTGGCATCTGACACATATGATTCTCTTACACGCTTCATGACGTGGCAGTTGGTGGTGGAGTACTAAAAAAATGGGTTCAAGCCCGAAGGGAAGGATTTGATGCCACTTGACGAAGGCAAGATTACAGCTTTGGCATTCTAAGCAACAAATTTGAAAAGGATGGCATTTTCTTTCTTGTCTTCTTCTGAGGGAGGTGTCTTTAAACAAACAAATCCCAAATGGAATTGGATTAAAATTGTGGAGAGACCAATATTCCCAAGTAGAAATTTGTCTCTTCCAACTGTAAGATTTTTTTGTTCTTGCTATAAAACTTACCATTGACCTTGTGCTAAAGACAGGAATAGCCAGCAAATTCAACACAAGAGGAATCTATTTAAGTTAAATAAAATCTTACAAATATTAATTCTACCCTGAAACGATGGTTAGATAAAATTTTTTTTTTATCGATCATCCAAATGATATATGAAAAATCATGATTAAAAATATATCCAGTAATTAAATTAATTGATAAATGAGTTGCTAATTTTGAATCACTCAACTCTTATAAGTATAATTTTAAGTTGAGTTACTAATTTTATTTTAGTAAAACCTAATTGATACCTAATTTTGATAATAGTAGTTTGGCAGTAACAAAAAAAATTATAACCTACTAATCTAGGGGTCAAAGCCCATTCAAAACGTAAAGACTAAAATAATAAAAAAGTCATTAAATTTTACAATTTTATTTAAATAAATTTTTATATTTTTTATATTCAAATAAATTCTTAAGATTTAATTTGCATTCAAATAAATTTTTAATTTTTAATTTATATCTAAATAAGTTTTTAAACTTTTAATTTATACCTAAATTAGCTTGCGATGCACTAATTTATTTATTTATTTATTTTGAAATTATAATTATAAAATAATATTAAAATTTAAATAAATATATGAACAAAATATAAAGGTATTATTCAAAAATATTAAATTTCTTATTTTTTGAAAATTTTAAGTGAAAACAAATGATCAATCTCTTCATAAACTATTTTCAAATTTGTGTAATTATCAAATTAAAACTTGAAAATAAAGCATATAAATTTACAGAATGATACTAAGTTTATGGATATAAATTGGATAATGCCTGAAAATTTATATTTAAATTATATTTTTTATATTTAAATAAACACTTCATAAACTATATATTTTATATTTAAATAAATTCTTAATATTTAATTTACATTCAAATAAATTTTTAATCTTTAATTTGCATCTAAATAAGTTCTTAAACTTTTAATTTAACCTAAATAATTCTTTTATTTAAAATAAAATTTTATTTAGATATAAATTAAAGTAAAGGGTTTATTTGGATATACTAAAAGTATATAAACTTATTTAAGAAAATAAAAATAATTTAAGAACATTTTTATATTTTAGCCAACCTATAACAAAAAGATTAAAGTACACATTTTATTTTATGCTAATCAAAATTAAATCAATCAAATGTTTTGGTATCTTATAAATTTCAACAAGTATAAGCAAATTTGCAAATACAAGCCATATATAAAAAAAATTACAATTTAAAATCTATTTCTATGAAAAAAAAAATTTTTTAATTGTAAAAATTTTATGACCGTTAATTATTTATTGCCTAAAATTAGATATGATTAATATTTTATGTTAGCAAAATGACTTAATATCCAAATATATCATCAAATTTTAGTAAAAAATATAATTAAATCCATAATTTTTTTATTGAATCTAAATAAGATTATAATCTTTTATTTTCTATAATTTTAACCATAAACTTTTAAAATTTACTAAAAAAATTAATTTAGAACAACTTTTAAATTCTTCTACAACTTAAGTTATTTTTATACAAAATCTAATTGAAATAGCAGAAAATATTAATTATGACTTATCACGTGTCTATTTATATATCTCTAAGTATTTTAGAGGATCATAGCTTTAATTCTGAAATAATACTCACATTTTCAGCTGAAAATCTACAAAAAGAAACATGAAAATCTTTCAATATCGAATATCCTTAAATTATCATTCCCTCATTTTATAATTTTACTGTTATAATAGTTTTACCCATTTTTTCTCTGTTTAATAATCTCAGCTCCTGGGAGTTGTTTTACCGATGATCCAAATGGTACTATACTTAGTATACAAAAAATATAAGAACAATTAAAAAAAAAAAACAGAGCAGATCAACTAACGTCCGGCACAAGTTGTGAACGGAAAGGACTTAATTAGTTGCAATAAATACTTCGAATATCGATAATCCATAACTTATTTAAGTCAAATGCAAAGGATTTTACTTACCAATGAAATAAGAATTGAGCTTCAAGGCAGCTCACACGATTAGGGTTGAGAATTCAATTTGATTTTATTAAAATTCGACCTAATTTGATCTTATTAAAATTTGATCTAATTTAATCTTATAAGATTAATTTTTTTTTTTTAAAATTGAATTTTGGATTGAATTAAATTAGATTTAGCATAAAAAAAAATTAGAATCAGGTCACATTTTAAACAAACCCATCTTGCTCTAACTGTAGACATCTTATTTTATCATGGGTTCTTTATCAATCGAGATTAATCTAAACTCGATTGTAGAGATTTTTATTCATTTTTATTTTAAATTTTTTTAATTTTTGTATTTATCATTTTTATTTTTTATGGTCTATTTATTGTTTAATTTCTTTTTTTTTTTCATTTTCTGAATAATTTAAAAAAAAAAAAAAAAGCTGAAAGAATGAGATTAAAATTGGTGCTAATTTTTAGCTTTGGGTGATAATCAGGATCGCACTAAAACTCAATCACATAGTTTTATAAAATGATTGCAATTTACAACAAGAAGGACAACCACAAGAAAAGAGAGATTACAGTCATTGTTGCCACGCCATCGTTTTATTCTTCCTTCATCGTCGTTTTCTACAAAAAGGAAGCTCTTGAGGGAGTCTCGGGGTTTTTTTTTTTTTTTTTGCTTTTCAGATTCCTGAATAAATCAAATACCCAAAGAAGCAAAGTTTTTCAAATAATTTTTATATAAATCGATCAAATCCAAAAGGACAGGGTTGCTTGAGAAAGGGGAAGTTTGGTATTTGGTGGGTATTGAAAATAAATGGCGAATCTGTATGTGAAAGCAGAGCCACGGCGACAGTCCATGGCAAATATTGTTGATAGATGAGGTTCATTTTGCCTTAATCTTTGTTCATTTCGTCACCTTGTTTCTATTTACGTATTGAAGAAGGAAGGCTTTGCTTCGAAAGATAAGGTGGAAGATCACCTGTACAACCCATAAGTACTCATTTGTTTATTTGGAAGGATATATTATTCACAGAATCATCAAAGTTTCGAAACAAAAAAAAGCGAAACCAACCAACAGAAAATAGCAACATGACGACTGGTAGGCAGCGAAGCTGAGAAAGTAGTAATGGTAGTGAAAAGAGAATGTGGTCGGATTCTAGCTCATCTTCGGCTTCTGGTGATGACCCCACCGATGTAAACCCCAATTTCAATCTCAAACTAGTGGATGAACGATTTGGTTTGTTGACATTGACTGAACTGGTCAGATTGAAGCATAATCATCGTGAAAATGGCGATGGAATCGCTAATAGATCACTGAATCAGGAGAGAATCAATGATGGTGATGAAGACAATAATCGATTGCAAGTGGAGAATGAGGGAATGTTTAGCGATGAAGGGTCTTTAAGTCTCAGCAATAGCGGATACATCGCTGAGAGAGGGAGCAGCAGTGCCACGAGCACGTCCAGGATCGATGAAGCGGGTGAGATTGACGATAGTGAGATTCAGGTAGTGAGAAACGATGGGTCACTCAAAGAAATCACCGATTCTCAAGCTTTCTCTTGGGTGCCCGGTAAATGCCATGTCGATGAGGATGATACTTCGATATCATGGAGGAAGCGAAAGAAGCACTTTTTTATTTTGAGTAATTCTGGCAAACCAATATATTCCAGATATGGTGATGAACACAAGCTAACTGGTTTTTCGGCAACACTTCAAGCCATTATTTTCTTTGTGGAGAATGGGAGAGATCGTGTCAAATTGGTGAAGACTGGGAAACACTAGGTAGTCTTTCTTGTGAAGGGACCAATTTATTTAGTTTGCATTAGCTGCACAGAAGAGCCCTTTGAATCATTAAAAGGACAATTGGAGCTTATTTACGATCAGATGATACTTATCTTAACAAAGTCGATAAATAGGTGCTTTAAGAAGGATCCTAAGTTTGATATGACACCTTTACTTAGAGGAACTAATGTTGTTTTCTCTTTCCTCATCCACTCTTTTAGTTGCAGAAAGCCAAAACGGAAGAGCTGAAAAAGCAACAACAGTGGAGTTCACGACGATGAAGCCACAGTTGATGGTGAAAGCACCGAAGGTAGTTGATACATTGTAATTCTACAAGACTGCGTTTGACACTATCAATAATAGCTGTATTATTTACCCAAAGTGCAAGGCTGAGCATGAGCTTCTTCATACCCTCTCGGTTCAGTTTGAGCTCGCTGGCTCTACCGTTCTTGTATCTGACATCGCTGGTAACTCTGCTCTTGTGAAAATGAGAAAACTGGATGTGTGCTTTGCATCAAGACTGAGGATGTGAAAGCTGTTACAGCCAAAGTCGTGAGCGCTGAAACCATTGCAAAGAGCAGTGATACGTGCTGTGGTGGACACGTGGGCAAGGACAAGGCTCTATATGGATACAGTTGGCTCATTTGCTCTCTTATCAAGAATGTTGCTGAGGTCCCTACATTTTTGTGATCTAGTTCCTTAAATATTTTGGAAAAAAAGTTGAAAGTATCAATTTTTTTTGAAAATAAATTTTTTTCAAAAAATTATTTTTGAGGAAAAGTTAAAAGTATCAATTTTTCTTGAAAATAAGCTTTCTAAAAAATATTTTTGAGAAAAAGTTGAAAGTATCAATTTTCCTTAAAAATAAGCTTTCTAAAAAATATTTTTAGGGAAAAATTGAAAGTATCAATTTTTCTTAAAAATAAGTTTTCAAAAATAAATTTTTTAGGAAAAGTTGAAAGTATCAATTTTCCTTAAAAATAAGTTTTCAAAAATGAATTTTTGAGGAAAAGTTGAACGTATCAATTTTCCTCGAAATTAAAGTTTTTAAAAAATATTTTGGGGAAAAGTTGAAAGTATCAATTTTCCCTGTACAAAAGCAATCATTTTTTTTCTTTTTTATTTTCTTGAATTTTTTTTAATGTTAAATAATCCGACGATAAAGCCTCTGCAAGTGAAACAGTAGTTTCTTGTATACTCTTGAGGTGAGAGAATTTTTTCAATTTTTTGCTAAAAGTATTAGAGTCAATTGAGAATAATTTTCAATAATTAATTACTTGATAAATTTTTAAGGCTTATTGGATAATACAAAATTAAGTTAGTACCATCTTTTGATGGGCATTGTGAGGGTACTATAACTTTCCTCACATATAATCAAACTTTCGAACCATATTCTGGTTAGTAGACTCGAACCTATTCTTTTAGGGACCCTTAAACTTAGGTGTTCCCTAAAAGGATAGATTCTTTAGGTAGCCAATCGCACCTAGATAAAAAAGATTGGTGACGACTCCTTCAAGTCAATGTCGAGTGATAAATCTTCAGATCTAGATGTTATGACAACTTGACGACTCCACTGAGGATCTCTGAGAGTCAGGCCAGCAAATAAATTTGTGTTATCCAAAAACCTAATAAAATTGAACTTTTTGTATAAATTTTTTATTCATTCATGTTTATTTACTTTATTAATTATGTCATTCATATGCATATGCATAACATGAGCTCTATACCCAAGCTCCATCCCTCTAAGAGGGAGTAAAGTACTTATTGCTTTCGTGAGGTCTAATGCCTCCGTAGTGGCTAGCAAAATACTCCCACTCAAATTAAACTTTTTTTGCTTGTAGCCTGTAATGGGTGAGAATTTAGGTGCCTTACTAGTTTGTGACGAACAATGATGTAAGGAGCAATTTGGGAACCTTTAGACTTTAGCTTTGAACTACATATAAGTGAACCTTAGAAGTGCCTAACCCTAAGATAAAACTCTTTCTACCCAATGATAGATATACCCTGAAACTAGGATACAAAAAAGGTGTTTACCTAATCATTTTGATTGTCTGACTTTGTGCATAATTTTCATTATCATATGTAACATTATGCCTCGGCATCACTTTCATTTCATCTATAAAACTAACTATGTTATTTGTTTGATTTTATGCATCTGTATTATTTTCATGATCATGTTTTAACACAATTATTTGCATCATTTTCATATTAGATTTCATCCATAAAAATGTACATTTCATTCGTGCATCAACGTATCATGCATAAAACATAGCATAGCATTTTTAATCATAATTGTGATGCTAAAGGTTCAAGGATAGCTCCACCAAGCAACCCCACTCACCAATACAATATAAGAGCTCAAGCCAGATAAATGGAACAAGAAAATTTTAATCGTCTCGAGAGAATAGAGAAAGCTCAGGAGAAGTTAGAAGGGGAGTTGAATAAGATTTTAGAGGCTTTGAACAAGTTAAACAAGGGAAAGTAATAGAGGAGAATGCTAGCCAACAAGATCATCCCTTATAAGAGAAAGATGACCTATGTACCCTTCTAGTTTTAAACCACATCAAGTCCAACTTGCACAAGGTCCACTATCACAACAGTTCACCTATCTTGTAGGGTATACATATCCTAGAATACCATGAGATTCAAATTAAGGACAATACCAAAGTTATATAAATTCTGTCTTTACTGAAAAGATAGTAAAACCAATATCAGCCCCTAATTTGGATTATCTAAAAGAATAAAAAAAAATTAAGGCCTAAAAAGAAGAAGCTTGTAGAAGCCTTAAAAACTAAACAAAAGATAAACTTGTTAGAGAAAAGGCTACGAATAGTGGAAGAAGTGGGTTTTTATGGTTCTGTTGATGCTGAGAGACTCTGTTTAGTCCCGGATATGATATCCCTCCGAAGTTTAAAGTGTCAGAGTTTAAGAAATATGATGGTACAAGGTGTCTGAAAACTCACATTACTATGTACTGTCAAAAAAATGACTACCCATGCCAATAATGAAAAGCTCTTGATGCATGTTTTTCAAAACAATCTCACTGGCTCTGCTATTAGATGGTATATTCAATTGGACATGACCTGCATTTGTTTTTGGAGCGATATGACTCATGCTTTCATTAGTCAATACCGGCATATAATAAATTTGGCCCTGATCATCCTTTTTTATAGAATATAGAAAAAAAATAACTGAATCATTCAAAGAATATGCCTAGAGGTGAAAGGACATGGCTACTCAGGTGTAACCTTCTTTGACTGAAAAATGAGACCACTGTATTATTTGTCAGCACTTTAAAATCTTCCTATTATGAAAAGATGATAAAGAATACAACAAAAAATTTCACCGACATGATGATCTCTGAAGAAATTATTGAGAGTGCCATCAAGAATGGCAAGTTGAAAGGAGAAAAAACCAATAAGGCATCAGAAAAGAAAGAAACTGAAGCTCAAGCTGTGAGTTTTGATAGGTGACAATTCAGGGGTTATCAACCCTATCCACCCCAAGATTACTTTTCATACTATCCTGCTGTGAACAATACTTCATCTTATCCATACCAACTAGCCTCACAACCACCTAATTCATCTACACACCAACCTATTTTTATCCCCCAAGCTCTCACATACAACCTTAACATTCAAACGACTACAAGATCTTAAATTCATCCTATTAGCCTAGCAAGGGATTCACGAGAGCAACAGACTATTCAAGAAAAGCTTGTATTTGATCCAATCCCCATGACTTATATGATGTTATACCGAGAGCTCTATAATAGTCACTTGATTGCCCTTAAGCCGTGTGGAGCCCCTCAAGTCACCTTATCCTAAGTGGTATAATCCTACAGCTCACTGTGACTATAATTGAGAATTACTGACGATTTCACTAAAAATTACACTGCTCTAAAGCATAAGGTGTAATGATTAATCAAGGATAGAATAGTAAGTTTTGATCAAGGAAGAGCAATAACACCTAATATTAATAGTAACCTATTACCTAATCATAATGTCGATGCTCTGAATGAGAATAAAAAATATGTTAATTCAAAAAGGCCTGAAGAGTCGTAATGAATCAAGGGAATGAGATAAAAATCCTTCACCTGATTGCACAGAGGCATAATTTTAAAGAAGGATGTTAAAACTGGTTGAATGCTACTTGTCATTCTAAGAGTTCTTTTAAAGTAATATTAGGATTTCTTTTTTGTAATATGATTTCATTTGTTATCATTTTAATAAATACAAGTTAATGCATTTCATTACATTTTCTCTTTCACTCGACCATTATTTCATGCTCTGTTACCTTTCATAACTTTACATTCCCATTTTTAAAATTTAGATGATGAATATTTAGACAATGATAACAATAATTCTGAGATTTAATTTTGAGAACTCATCCACATTAATATGAAGAGATGATTTGAGCAAAAAAGTAAGCTGTTACCAGAGGTGAAATAAATATGTCTTAAAGATGTGCAATCTTTTATACAGGTTTATGATCTTTGTTCAATAGATGATGTTCAAGAAAAGTATTCACAATTGAGATGAAAAATGATCATCTTTCTTTTACCATTCGAAAAATCATTTATTGCTATCCCTTTAAGCCTATTATGATTTTTTTTTCTGAAGAACCCCAACCAAGGATCACCCTCTACACTGTGGGGTAATTTTTGAAAAAAAATTATCATAAAAAGGTCTCAAAGATGGAAAGAGAAAGAAAAGCAAAAGAAAAAATAAATGTCACACATGATTTAGGGTAAAATAATGAGAATCCTTTGTGTGAGAAAAGAAAAAATAGTGAAATGATGTGGGGGTAAAATGTCAAGTTGCATCAAATGATCTTTTGGTCTTGAACTTTTTTAATACATGTTTTAAGTCTATTATATCCATTTCTTTTATGACCCCTCACCTTAACCTACATTACAACCTTGAAAAGTCCATTTGGATCAAGTGTGAATGCTCAACTTGAATGATCATATGTTGAGCGAAGACATACTCATGATGAAA